GATTGACCAAAATTTTAACTAATCAAGCAATATCGAGTATTTTGACCAACAATGAGTAGGAATGTTGCAAGCATTTCTTCAATACAAATATATTTAGTATCCTGCAAGGGTGTTTTTTCTCTAATGATATTGTTTAATTTTAGAAATATATCCGGATACATTCTATAAACTTGTCGAAAGTTTTCTAGATCCTCTAATATTTTGTGTATGTAGTCATATCCATATCTAGTTTTTGGTCGCCTAGTTAGTGAACTCTTAATACGTTCACAACACATTATTTATATAATCATTTATCACGTAGAGAATTGCTTGAATGGCCATCCATGAATGCCTAATAGTTTCATATAATGCTTCATCGTTCTCATCTTCTTCAATCTCATCCATCTCTATTTCATGATCTTCGCGTATATTAAGATTAGACATTGTATATATGGAAGTACCTAAAAATAGAATGGACAAAAATTAAAGATATACACAAAGAAAATGATAATGTTATGTATAAACGAATCAAGTATTGCAAATTTAATATACTATCAAAAAACACAATCAATAAATAACTCAAAAAAATGTAGAATTCAATACTATAGTCAATGTTACATAATCCATAAATAGCAAATTAACAATCCAAAACACTAAAATTTACTAATGGTCATGTCCAAAAAAATACTTCATTTTAATTTAAATATTATCCATTTAGAACCTTCTTCTGGTGTCATGCTCAAGAACTTAGACTTCTTTTCTTTAGTATTGAGCAAATCAAGGGCCTTGAAACGATCATAATCATCCAAATTTAGGATTTCCTTGATAATGTCCTAACAATTATGCTATCTAGTGTCAAACTGTCAATTGATTCAACAGCTCGAGTGATCTTGTCAACTGTAAAAACAAGTTTGTCTGTAACATCTGATTGAGTACTTTTGGGATCAAATAAACTAGAATTTGATTCAAACTATGTTCTACTTCGTTTTCGATTTGATGGAAGAACCTCTAAATTTATAGGATCTTGTTTATCAGTTGGTATAAATGCTTTAGTATCAAGATCATACATGAAGTCACCAATTAAACCATCACTAACTCTTTTTTCTTCTGTATAAAATGTTCTTGCATCAGTATCATCCCCTAGTGCAATTGAGTGTGTCCCAACAGCTGTTCCACTTCCAACTGCAATTTTCAAATCTTCATAGTCTGCAAAAGTGTCCGTGCGATAACTTTTATCTTCAGGATGAGACTATTAAAGAAAAAAATAATTTGAAGTGCTAACGTATGAAACATACACATAACTAACCAACAACTTAAATTATATATTTTTTTAATCAAGTAATAAGAGAAGCTTACCATAACGTAATCGTCCCATACTTCATGACTTGCAGTGAATTTCTTCGTCACATTATTCCATCCAAACCCAGAGTTATGGAGCATAAGCTTAAAATACTTGTTGTACTATTTTTTAAACAATTTCACACGACTTTTATATTGGGAATAAGTCTTTTCAATCCCAAGCTTTTGGTTAAGAAGGGGTAGTATATGTTTTTTCTCCAGTTATCTTGCTCAACACATCGTTACTATCACGCCAACCACGAGTGGAAGCATCTACCATGAGTTTTAGCAGCTCAATGCTCTCTTCCCACACCCATTTCTCATATTTTTCGATGCCTTTTCCTTGAACCTTGTCATTTCCTTGTGTTGAATCTTCCATTAATACCTATCATATTGTACATGCAATGTATTAAAATGAAAACAAACTATGAATGACAAAGATGAACTAAAATGTAAACAACCAAAATTAACATAAAAATGACAATGAAAAATATAGAGTTGTTCTAACAAATTATCCTAAAAAGCTCAAGACTAAAAATAGTTAATATTGTCTAAGGAAATGCATGCCAAGTAACCAGAATAAGATTCGGCTTTCGCATTTATCGACAGGAATTTGAACTATTGATTTAGCTAAAATCTGAATCATGTAATGTAGCTCCTATTTGGTGCACATTTTGAGTCAAAGAATGCATTTTTTTGTTTGATGTGATGTGGAACATGTGGTTGAAAAAGAAGAAAAAGTTATTGATGTGATGAAAAATATTATTTTATTGAAGAATATATGATTAAAAATGAGTAGAAAAATGAGAATGAATAAAATAATATGACAGGGGCTTACCTTATACTAATGCAAAAGAAAGAAAGAAATAAATAAATAAATATTAACACCATAAATAAAGCAATATGGATAGATCTAATGCCCACATTCAAAAATAAAAAAAAAATATATGATTTTTTGCATACACAAAAGTCAATTACTTGCATGAAACGATTATCACCTTGCACCTTATTCTGATCCCTCTTCTGGCGTTTACCTTCCCCAAGCTATTAGCCTACAATACTAATCCCAAGCTTCAAGATATACTTGCAAAATTTTAACATAAACCCATAAAAAAATCTCGCAGAATTTTGTGCAAATTCATATGATTTTCTTTTCTACAAAATATATAGTTTAGAACGTAAGAGAGAAAAACCTGAATGTCAAAGAGAAGAGAAGGGCTGGCAGTTGACAAATCTCATAGTAGAATGAGAGATTTGTTTTGAGCTTTTCTATTTATATTTTCTACCAAAAAGTCTCCAAAAGTCTATTAAATTATAAATTCCCTAAAAGTCGTTATCAATTGAATACCTCATAACTTATAGAGACTTTTAAAAAGTTTCAATTGAATACCCCGTGACGTGTAGAGACTTTTTAAAAATCTATAAAAGTCTATATTGAATACACCTAAACTTTTAGAGAATATTTAAAGTCTCAATTGAATACTCCTAAACTTTTTAATTCTCCAAAAGTCTTTAAAAGTCTGAATTGAATACACCCCACTATATCTTGATATCATCTCGTGGATTTATATGTGGCCGAGTTATCCAATTTATAATATTTATTCCTTTGTTGTTGGACATTCTCAACTCCATATTGTCCTAATATGTGAATATATTTACATCAGGTTCATGAGAATGAAGTTAAAAAGCGTTTCTCGGAATGCATCTGGCTCACTTCATGCAACTTGTGGACGAGACAAATCAGTGTGGATATGGGAAGTATTACGGCATAATGAATTTGACTTCATTTCAGTGTTGCAAGGACATACTTAAGATGCTAAAATGGTCCAGTGGCATCCCTCTATGGATATTTTGTTCTCTTGTAGTTATGACAACACTATTAAGGTATGTATAGAAAAAGGAAAAAGAATATTGTCACGGCGTTTAAGATATTCAAGTTTGTCAGGAAGCTTACATTATAATTAATATGCCTGCTGTTTAGGTTAACATATCAGGTATTGCTAAATAAGACACGTCCAACTCTTGTAGGTCTGGGCAGAGGATGGGGACAGTGATGATTGGCATTGTGTTCAAACTTGAGGTGAATCCGACAGGTGCTTGTTGACATTTCATGGTCATATGTTCTGTGCTTCACTAGCCTGTAAATTTTTTACATTGCTTCAAATGTATGATTGTGCTCAATAATTGATTGAGATTCTCCTTAATTTTCGAAGTCTCTTAGAAATGGTTTCCTGTGTTTTCAGTGAACACACATGTAGTCATGTACAGTCTGGGCTTCATCTTTTAGCGCCAATGGAGACAAAATGGTTTCCTCTAGGTATGCAGAGCACTCCTTAATGCTCGTTCACATTTAATATATAAATGGTATTGTTCAAGAGTGTCTTAGAAATTTTTTTAAATCATGATAAAGAACGTTTGTTGTGAAGACACTTGTAATGTTGTCAAATTGATTTTGCAGTGATGATCTTACCGTTAGGGTATGGGGTGCTGATATTATGAGGATGCAGTTGGCTGATGGAAATGCTCCTTGGTGAGCTGCATATCAGCCTATTCGTTTGATTCTCCATCTTTGCATATTATAAGATGTATTTTTTGTCTTTCAAGGATATACCTTTTGGCAGCTAGATTCTTGACAACAAAACTTCAGAGTCTTGAAAGATGAAATGCTCACAATCTCTTTATTTTATCCACCTATATGCAAGGATTGCATGCTTTATTGTTTAGAACTTGTCAAATGACTGACAATTGAGGAAATTTAAAGGGGAGACATAAACAGGAAACTGTAAAAGGATCAACACATAATGAAACTAAAGTTTCATGGTGGCTGAGCTTTGTTTGAGCATAGATCTAATGACAATGGAATATTTGGTTTGCAGTTCATCTTAATGTTTATATGACAATGATGAATT